GCTTAAAAGTCTGAATTTAGCCTGAAACTCTCAGACTGAAGAAGTCTCTTGGAGGAGAGACGAAACGTTTCATTAGAGAAGAACCCGTCCAGAGGACCTATACATTTTTTTTCTTTTTCACTGATGAGAAAACTGCTCAAGTAAAAGTCATAAAACTGTTCACAAAAATTGGGAAAGCAGAAGTAAAAGTATTTTTCCATGCTCTCTAACAAATAAACTGTTAAATTTACAGAACTAAACTGGCAAAACAAAACCAAGTTGATTAAAGTGGTCCATTTCTTTAAAATAAAATACGCATATCGCCTCAAATTTACTCTACTGGGTTTAGTGGAAATACAGTAGTTGACATGATTTAGTTGAGTAAATTCAACACTTAATTTTTTTAGAGCACATAAAACTCCTTTCATGATGAGTTCAGACAAATTTAATATTTAACAAGTTAGGTGTTAAACTTTAAAGTAAAGAAGAAAAAGTATCATTTTTAGATTTTAAAAGTAAGTGAAAAGTAAAAGTCACGATTTAAAAAAAATAACTTGGTAAAATTACAAATTCTCAAAAAAAAATTCCTTAAGTACTGTAACAAAGTAAAGTACTATACACCTCTGATAATAAATAATAAATGAGAGTGTGTGTTTATGCCCACCGCCCAGCTTGCGGATGTGCAGGACGTATCCGATGACGTCAGTGGTGCTGGTGGAGGGGCTGCTCCATGTGATCTGCAGGGTGCTGGTGGACACGGGGCTGGCTGTGAGCCCCTGAGGGGCGGCCGGCAGGTCCTTAGCCTGGGTCACAGCCAGGCGGGCACTGGCCTGGTTGGTGCCAGCACTGTTCTCTGCAATGCACTGGTAGATGGCCTCATCCTCCGAGCTAATGCGGGTCAGAGCTAGAGTGCTGCGTGAACAACAACAACAACAACAACACAGCTGCGTCAGTTTACTGTCAGGCCTGGATTAATATACTCCTACATGTCTGAAACAGATTAAATGACTTATTATTCTGAATGGATCATTTTCAACAGATTCCATCTAATATTTGTTCTGTCAGACTCACAGGAAACAAGAATACACACTTCAAAATGTTTTTTTTAAAAAACAGACTTTTAGTGTAGCTACAGAAACAGACAATATTTTTTGTTGTGGTTGAAGAGTGAAATGTAAAAGCTGTAGTGCTGCCACCTGGTGGTGCATCTGTAAAACTCTTCAAGTCTTGTTTAAAAACACACCACTACTCCCCTGCCTTTGAGTCTGAGTGAGATGGTGCAAAACCTAGTTGGTATAAATACCTAGTTGTGTGTGTGTGTGTGTGTGTGTGTGTGTGTGTGTGTGTGTGTGTGTGTGTGTGTGTGTGTGTGTGTGTGT